ATGACTAAGGAAAACGAGAACATCGATGATACTCCTAAAACAATAAGAGCAACAACAGATGGCACCGCGAACAAGAACGAAAACAACAACATAAGAGCTACTCAAAACGGAGCCGCCTTGGTAGAGGACATCACCATCAAAGAAAAGGTTGCTCATCCAGGGGCCCCACCTGATGGGGGCTGGGGCTGGGTGGTCGTTGCTTCGTCCTTCACCATCAGCCTGCTGGTGGACGGAGTTTGCTTCTCCTTTGGCATCTTCTTTGACGAGTTTCGGGAGGAGTTTGGGACGAGTAAAGGCACGACTTCATGGATAGGATCAGTTCTCAATGGATCCTACCTCATCTTCGGTTTGTATCAGCTGCGTGTGCCACTTAGTGTTGAAGTTATACTGTTCTTTCTCAGTTGAATACAGCACCATTATTATAGTCTCATCACTATAGTCTCATCATTATAGTCTCATCGTCATAGTGATCATCAAATCCTCGTTAACGGCATCATTATTGACACCAACATTATTTAACATTTTTGTACTTATGATTTACGAACAACAAACACTGCTACTGTCACTACTACTACTACTACTACTACTACTACTACTACTACTACTACTACTACTACTACTACTACTACTACTACTACTACTACTACTACTACTACTACTACTACTACTACTACTACTACTACTACTACTACTACTACTACCATCACCACTACTATTACTACTACTGCTGCTGTTACTTCTACTACCACCACTACATCCATTTCTACTACCACCACCACCATTACTACTACTACTAATGTTACTACTTCTACTGCTTTCCTGCTGCTGCAATTACTGCTGTTGCTGCTACTTTTATTACTTTAATCGAATAATTCCGGTTACTGCTGCTAATACTATTAATACTTCACAATCTACTTCTAGTGTGGTGGTGCTACTGCATCACAGCCTGCACTTTGCTGAGCTGGATATTTTTCTGTGACCACAATCCTGTCCCTCCCCCCCCCCCTCCCCCCCCGACCCTGTCCCCTTCCCAGCCGTTTGGCAGTAGATTGGTAGGTCTGCCTGTCCTGCACATTGAGTTCGCACACAGGTCATGTTTAGTGTCATACCGTTCATCAACAATTGTTTATCTCAAATAATCAAATCGTTCATCAATCAGTGTTTTACCTCAAATAATCATATTGTTCACTCGTCAGTGTTTTACCTCAAATAATCATATCGTTCACTCGTCAGTGTTTTACCTCAAATAATCAAATCGTTCACTCGTCAGTGTTTTACCTCAAATAATCATATCGTTCACTCGTCAGTGTTTTACCTCAAATAATCATATCGTTCACTCGTCAGTGTTTTACCTCAAATAATCAAATCGTTCACTCGTCAGTGTTTTACCTCAAATAATCATATCGTTCACTCGTCAGTGTTTACCTTAAATAATCGCATCGTTCATTCGTCAGTTTTTTACCCCAAGTAATAATATCTTTATCCGTCAATGTTTTACTTCAAATAATCTTATCGTTCATCCGTCAATGTTTTACTTCAAATAATCGTATCCTTTATCCATCAGTGTTTATCCCAAATAATCATATTGTTCATGTGTCGGTGTTTTACCTCAAATAATCATATCGTTCCCACGTCAGTGTTTTACCTTAAATAATCATATCGTTCACATGTCAGTGTTTTACTTCAAATAATCATATCTTCATCCATTAATGTTTTAACTCAAATAATCATATTGTTCATCTGTCAGTATTTTACCTCAAATAACCATATCGTTCACCCGTCAATGTGTTACTTCAAATAATCATATCGTTCTTCCCTCAATGTTTAACTTCAAATAATCATATCGTTCACCCGTCAGTGTTTTACCTCACATAATCGTATCCTTTATCTATCAGTGTTTCCCCAAAAAATCATATTGTTCATGTGTCGGTGTTTTACCTCAAATAATCGTGTTGTTTAGCTGTTATTGTTTTAACTGAAATAATTACGTAGTTCAACCGTCGGTGTTTTATCCACACACACACACACACACACACACACACACACACACACACACACACACACAAAAGATAATTTAAAAAAAAAAATCAACAATGCCGTTAGTCATTGATTGATTGGTGTTGTCTGCAACAAAGACCTGCAGCGATTTTCTTAATACCCACATTTGGGATTAAAAGGGGGAGCATTTGTTACCAAGCTGACAATCTTTATATCGAAAAGCCTTGGATAAAATACAGGATTCCCATCTACAGTAGGAGTGAGGCTACCATTGATCGATCAGTTTGTCCCCTCCTACTGCTACTTAAAGATTTAATATACTCTCCTGAGATTTAAAAGTCTCTATCTGGACGATAAACCAACAAGGCAGATTCCTAATACCTCGTTCAACTCCCTAAAGAAGTTCTAACTAGAGCACACAGAACGGCAGCTCCAACCACATATAACCCGAAGCCCTACGCTGGTACGGGAGAAGGTTACGGAACGTTGAAATTTGATTTTT